TAAGAAGCACTTTCAGTTCTTTGTCTCTTGATTCTTTAAAGTCGAAAATCCAGAGGTTAACTTGCAAAAATCACAACGAGAAGCTGCGTTTGTTGATTCACCATCCAAAATATTGTTATCACTTTCCCACTGTTGTATTGCAAATACTACACTAACTTAACTTATGGTTTAACTTAGTTTCCTAACATTTAAAGTACATCACCGATTCGAATAATTCTTTCAAAATCGGACTCACTTTATTCTTATTCTGCTGCTTTTAGCCTGGTTATTGAAAACAAGTATGTCGCCGTTTAGGCGGTCTGGCTTACTGCATTGCCTTAAAAGGCAGACAGTGCGACGATAAAGCCCTCAGTCCTTTTGCGATTCTAATAGAAGACATTTAATTTTTAAGTAAGGCATGTGCAAGACTGATAAATTGCCCAGGTCTTTGAATTTTTTGATTTTTTATACTGAAAAATCAATAAGTTGCAAATGTCAGTTTCATCAAGAGTATGGAGAAGAAGTGGAAAATGAAGTTTGAAGTCTAGACTGTAGGTGCAGATTTCTCTCAGCCAAAGAGCTGAGAAACAAATCAACCAGAATCTTCAGTTTTTTTTTCCACACTCGCTCAATCGAGTTGAAAAATTTTCCTTTTTTATTTATCACTAATTTTTCTTTAAATAAAAATTGCTTTTGAAAATTATAACATTCCAGAACGGACAGAGGTATTTTCTAATGTTTTTCTACAACTTAAATTAATGTAACTTACCCTAAATACCCAAACCTACTTTGGTATTTAAGACAGTTGTTCATCCATTTATAAATAATTTATACTTATTTAATCAACCTTTTTAATTTATCTGTTTTTGTAAATATCAATTTAACTCTAGGACCAGATCGACTATGATCTTTGAGATAATTTAACTGAGACTTATAGTTTTAGTTTCTAATTGAAACAAAGGGATCTATCAATCGAACCCAGCGTTTCTTTTTTTAAACCACAAAACTACGTATGCGAGACTTGAAAGCTACTACTTTGAAAACTGAATGGTTGAAAAACTGTTCTGTTTGTTTCCAGATAGAGATGTATCTTAACGTTTTTAAAAAAAGGAAAACTCTGATTGTGACAAAGCAAAAACAATGGTTTTTTAATATATGATCATGGAAAAAATTGACTCTTGAAGCCGAATGAGATAATAAGCAAAAAAAGGAAATTGTTACGGGAATAATGCCTCGTTCTGTATAAATGAATTTCGTTTTTTTTTTGTGACACAGTTTTGATTGGCTAAATCCTACAGAAAACTTTTTTTCTCTACTTATAGTAGAACACAAAACTTTAACTTGTAATTTAAGTTTTTCGTGAACAACAATCTTAAATTCTGAAAATTGGAGCATGTGTCGGGATTCAAACCCTACCGTGGAAAGTTGGAAAAAAACACTATCACGGTTTTTGTTTTTGAACAAATTTCAAATTCCAAGCATTGATCAACTTACAGCTTTAATTTGATGATTTTGAGTTCATTTGAAACCAATTAGATCTTCAGCAGGAATAATTCGACCGACAACTGCGAAAACTCCGTAGCTGGGATTACATGAGCCGTTCAATAAATTTTTGATGAATGCAAAAACGTTGACCTTAAATTTGACAATTGGAAGATTTTAGACAGAATTGTTTTTAATCCCTGCGTGAAACCGTAGATTGCAAAACGTGCAAAAGAATTTTCCAGAGAAAAATAGTTTGAAGTAAACGATCATATTCATGTGACTGATCACTGTAGCGATCCCGTTTATTTTTCTTGAGTATAAGTTCTGCTAAAAAATGGAAAAAAAACATGGTAATTAGTCTGTTACCTCCAAACTTTGTAGAAACCTTCTCGCAAAACCTTCACTTATTTCCGTGGGCACAATGCAAACGTACAGAAACGAGAAATTGGAGAGTTATTTGAGCGTGTCGGAGATTTGGAAACAAATGTGAAAAACAGCGAACAATTGAAAAACTGGGTTGAGGTTTATGACAATTCTCAAACAACAAAAAACTTTAAAATCAAGTCACTCGTTTTTTTTTGTTTCATTAAGGACACTTAATTTAAGAACTGACCGCGCTAGATGTAATTTAGTTAAAAGACAGTTTTTTGTTCACTAAGATAGCGCTTGCTTCGTTGCTTTTAACGAATAAGCAGAGAATACTATGTCGATTAATTCAAGCAAAGTAATCTCAAAAAACAACAAAATTGCTAGTATCAGGGAATATCCCTGAATGGTCCGACTTTTTTGATGTCCATAAAGTAGAAGTTGCTTTGAAAAGCGTTTCCTTCATGCTAAGTAAAAGTACAAAGTGATACACTTTGCATGTAGTAGAGTAATTAACTTATCGAATACCGTGCCTCACTTCATTTTGGAACGATTTCAAAGCTGGCCTGGGTTGAACAAAAGTCGCTGTCTTAGAACTTTTGTTTCAAGAATCCTACAACTTCTAAGAAACTGGGCTATAAGATTGTTACAAGATAGGGATTTTTTCTGACAGGAAAGTTGTAAGATAGAGATAGTTTTTTATCTTACAAGAAAGTTGTGAGTTAGTAACTTTTCCCACAGAAATTTATTATTAATTTTCTTTATAATTTTCAAAAATTTGAAAAAAAATGAGTTTAAAAGTTTTCCGCTGTAGCAAAACGCAATGAAGAAAACTCGAACACAAACTTTCGTTTCACTACATGAGTTATCCGAAGTAACTACTGACTAAAAAGAGTTAGTTTTTTCGCTGATGATCAAAAAAGTAGAAATACACCTGATCTCCACATACAACACGATCCAAGCTATATGTCATGACTGGTCCAAGTTAATTTTTTTCTGTCTTCAAAAAACTTAGAATCACTAAGTAAGTATAACTAGGAAAGTTATTGAAAAATCTTTCAAAAAATTGGTTGGTAATTTTTTGTGCAAAATACCATGATCACGGAGGTATTTTTTTTTTCAGTTTTGAGAAACAGTTGCTATCTTAGAATTATTTTTATAAGTAAGTTGTAAGATAGCTGAAATTTTCTAACAATCTCTAAGAAGTTCGAAGATAGGGGAAGTTTTGTAGGATGATCCACCTGGTGGATTGAGGCTGCTTACGCGGCAATAGCACAAAATGTATAGTTGGTTTATTGTCTCAAATCACAGGCATTAGAGTTTAAAAACCAAACTTTTTTAAAAAAATTCGAGCTCAGTACAACCGTTACTTTCAGATGGTTTCAGGCGTAAATCAAGCCTCAATGTATGTGCAAAATTGTATGATCGAAGTCTCTCTCAAACTGCAGTTGCAACTTTATGTATTACGACTGTCATATCTTAAAGAGTTTTTTTGCATTGTATACCCATGTAGTAGGCAGGTTGCTAAAAAACTGCTGCGTTGCTGTAACTACTCATATACAACTTTTTACAATAGGCTTCAGAAACAAAGTTGGTCGTATCAGGGCAGAGCCCTGATTAATTGGAGTTCATTTAAATTTCTATCGATTCGCTTAAATTGAAATGTTTGATAATTATACTTTTAAAAAAAGAAAAATTTTCTTCGCACAGCTTGCTTTGCAAAGTACAAACTGACATATTTTCAAAAGATCAAAGTATAAAGTATAGCAAAGAGCACGGTTTTTTCACCTCTTACGCTTTAATAGCACGAAATAAAAAACGAGTTAATTGTCCCAAATTGGCCATAATGCCAATCCTTAAAACCCATAACTTTACGAAAAACGATCACAGTCTAAACACGCAAGCATATTTCGTTTTCTTTGAAAGTCGGAACAATAACTTAATGAGCATGATATCAGGACATCTATATCTTTCGACTGCCTAATTAAAAATCCGATTTTGGTCTGGAGAAAAAAATCATCCTGAGCATAAGTATTCCGTCATTTTCTTCAAAAGTCGGAACAAACGATTTTAGACAACCGGAGCAAATCACTGCACTGAAATCCATTGCTCTATTAAAAAACTGTCCGCTCTTCAGTATGAACCTTTATTTTTTTTTGCTACACGCCATGAAAAACTATTTTTGTATGTCATTTCGCGACAAATTTCATTAAGCAAGTCTGCTTATCATCCGCTAGAAAATTGTACGGATCTTGGTAATTTTTTAAATGGAGTTTTAGTTTCCAAAAGTTAAAATCTGAACAATGATCAATTAATAACAGACTAGTTACAGCGTTTTGTTTTTCCGGTTAAACTCCGCTCGAGACCTTCTTTAAGGATCTTAAACGGCCCAGTTAATTTTCCCCAGTAAGTATTTCTTAGAACTACTAGCATAAAAATGATTTCGAAACTAAAAACGAGACGGCAATTTTTCATCAGTTTTGCAGAGTTCTTTTTTTTCATGGAGCTCTTAAGTTGAAGTAAAATTTGTTAAAGAAAAATAAAATCATTGAAAAAATAGAACTACGTTCAACGAAAAACACCACATTATACCACAAATATACACTGATTTAAATTAGGTTTCTAATTGAATTACGGCTTGAATTATGTGGAAATTGTACGTTTTGCATTATATTCAAAAAAATTTTGATTGCTAAAAATAAAGCTCAGAGCCCATCAAATAGGCAAAAATGTTTATGTAAAAGTAATGAAAACATTTTTTGAGAAATGTCTAGAAAGTATTTCACCATTGATTCCATGTATGGAATCGTATGGTTAGGCGTTTTTTGTATGGAGTTTCACCGGTGATATATCAATAATTTCTTCGTTTGAGATATTTAGATGTCTGAGCTGCTATTTATTCTCACCAAATAGACCTGCATAAGTTAAATTTTAATCAAGTGCTGTCTAAGTTTGTTCTGTTCTAGACTTGTCCTTAATGATGGCATACTTTGTTTACAATTTGCAATTTATTGAAACGGTGGGAGAGCAGTTTTGGCAACCAAACTATAAACAACTAGAGATCATTATGACGTTTGAAGTAATAATTTATGCTATTTTGACACAAAATACATGATTGGACTCATAAATTCAACCCGAATTAAGTTATGGCTGATATTTTGATCAAGTTTGTCCCTTTGAACATCCGTTTGCTTTTGGAATTTCATTTTGTCATCATAAACTGTATCTGCTTAATTATCCCATTAAAACTTCATTCGAAAACAAGTCGAAATAGAAGTAAGTTGATCAAATCTATTTTTTTTGCCATTTTGGTAAAAGTGTAATTTTAAAATAGTTTCGGGATTTCAAATTTCAAAAACGAAAATCACAGAAAACCAAAATAACGAAATCACAGAAATTGAAAACTAATAGCTATGTTCAACAAACTGAACAAGGGTGCGTTTAACTCCGAAATACTGAATTATTTATTAAAGCTTGATGGAAATTTACGTGTCATCTTTTTTGTGAACATTTGGGTTTGAGATAACAAATATTACAGTTTTTTACTATAAAATTCTAGCTTTCTGTTACTTGTAAACCCATTTTCAGATGAAGTGTATCTTTTTCTCGGCATTTTTCCTGCCGCTGACCCTTGTACGGACACTCCCCCTCTCAATTCAGGAGGACCCCCATGCTGATCTGTTTGTGGCATGGAAAGAACAACACCAGAAGGAATACTTGTCTGGAGTTGAAGAAGTGTCCAGGTTCAATATCTGGAAAGACAACATGCGAAAGGTACCATTGATGGAATTGATTGAGAATTTTTTTTTGTAAGCTACCCCAAAAGATAACGAACAAACCCCCGCCCCTTTCCAATACCCCCATCCCCCCCCCCCCCCCTCTGAACTAAAATGCAAAATTATGATGTGTCTCATTGAGAGCTGTAATGGTGTTTCGTTATAAAGTCGCCACATCAAAAACGGAAACGTACAACTAATGATGCTTTCCGTTTCTTTAATAAACCGTTTTCTGAGCAACTCGTGTACCGGTTTTCCAATCACTGATGAACCATTTTTAAACCGTTCGATGAACCATTTACATTTTGATCTGGTCTTGATGCTGTCAAAGACGGAAAAAAACTTACTTCTTTGTGTGTTTTTTTTTTCAACAGGTGATGTTGCAAAACATGCAGCATGATCTGGGACTGTCTACTTTCACGATGGAGATGAACGAGTTCGCAGACATGACTGCGGATGAGTTTGGGGCTCAGCGACTGGGAATGAGGAAAAGGCTCAAGGCCACAGTTCCCGAATACAGCTCAGGTAAACTTTTAAATATCTCTATAGCAACTGAAAACCTCAAAACCCACCCAATTGCGAAGCAAGAGTGGGAACGGCGTATATCAGTTACTAAGATGGAAGCTAATGTTTACTTTTAACAGCTGAATCCAGGGGTGGATTTTGTCAAACTTTTATTTAAGTCACCCAAATTGATTTCCGAGCTCGTATTATTTTGGCCAAAATAATTGCACCGCAGGCAAATTTTGGAAAAAAAAAGCCCAAAAAAAGCACTTTGAAGCACTTGATAGACAGATTCGACCAAAAAATGTTTTATTTTTTTTTGCCGCGCGCTCTACACTCATAAATGGTATATTTTGGCACAGCAGGCGCACGCCTTTAGAAAAATTTTAAGGCCGGCTAAAAGTGGAGGTGTTAAAGTATCAGCAAATGGAGACCCTTTGGGTAGCCACGATGTCGAATCCCTGAATGGTGAAAGGCGTCCGCTCCCCCAGCTCCCGTTTAATCCGCTACTTGCTGAATTGTAACTTTAAAGGGGTATTCTTCATAGCAGGTGCCATAGAGAAGGGGTCGGTAGTAAGAAAACAATAAATTTAATCGTTCCCTTTTGGTAAACGTTTTTCCCTCAAACAGCTGATGGGATGAAAATTAACTAAGTTTTAAATTGGAAGCTTCATCCAATCACAATCGAGCATTTTACTTGTAGCTCTAAAAAAATTCAAATAAAAAGCTGTGGAGCGAGAGATTTTCTTGATCCCGGATTCGCTCTTTTCACCCCCAAACACCTTTATAATATTTTGACCCCTCGCTGTGTCAGATGGCAAATTTTCTGAAAGGTGATGAGCGTCCACAATTCGTGGCAACTAATTAGGCTTTTTATAATTTTTCTCCTCCTTTTTGAACAGAATCCTCGCACGAGGATGACTCATCTGTGCCAGCCAGTGTGGACTGGAGGGACCAGGGGTGGGTGACTCCAGTGAAGAACCAGGGACAGTGTGGATCCTGCTGGTCATTCTCCACCACTGGAGGGTTGGAGGGACAGAACATGAACGCCACAGGTGAACAAAAACGACTGTGATAATTTCCTAAAATTTATTGTAAAACAACGACGGTATTAAATCTGTAGATTTAGGGGATTGCTTCTCTAGGTTCGTTTTTTTCTCTCTCACTGTCGCTCTCTCTCTCTCTCTCCCTCTCTCTCTCTCTCTCTCTCTCTCTCTCTTAACGACACCGTAAAGTGGTCCCGTGGGTATTGTAAGCGACCGTGATTCAGTACTGTATACAATCACTGTATAAGTTGGTGGCAACTATTCTGCATGGTAATTTCTTTGTTGCCCCCTTTGCGTTCTGCTCTTAAGGGTCTCGTCCGCTCGAAAAGATCGGAAGAACTTCCAATGGCTATTTTTTTCAGAAAAAGCATGTCCAAACACAGAAAAGCTCTAACTGGTCAAAATAAAATCTAATAATCTAATCAAAGGAAAAGATCTGCGATTTATTAGCACAGTTTGCGATTTAAATTCCAACTATTTCACCTAAACGATTCTCTCTCTCTCTCTCTCTCTCTCTCTCTCTTTCTCTCTCTCTCTCTGGAGAAACCTAATTAACAATTTACACAAGGTAATTCCACACAATTAATCATTTCGATCAGCTAAAATTACTACTCTCTCTTCGGATCATTGTACCTTTGAGGGTATCATGCTGGCCCGAATGATACTTTAACTGATTTCGCTAATTTCAGTTATCACTGTTATCAACTCAGATGAGAACCAATTATCCACTAAATTCGTGTTTTCTCGTCTCTGGGAATTTGTCTCTAACTAACAGAGAAACAACTATACTATAACTCAGCACCAATTGTTCTGCACAAGGGTGGGCTATTTTTTTAAGTCTCCATAATGTTTTTCAGTTTGAAATTTAGTGATTTTAGCATGGTACTCTCAAGAAGTCTTGACATTTAATTTAGTACCCTTTTTGCAAAGACTTATTTGATACTAGTCCTCATTTCCAAGGTCATTATAGGTATCTCTAACTAAGTTGTGCAAAAATTAAGTCAAATCTCACATCTAAACCAAGTTTTATTGAAATATCCCATTAACGCTCCGCTCTTCCGTTGGTAGGGACAGACACCTTCCATGGGTAACTAGCTCAATACTATCAGCCATGGCAGTCATACCCACCGAGTTTCATTCTTATGGAATTATTACTTCACAAGTTATCTCGTTTCCAAGGTCCATTATCACTTTTTCCGGGAAAAAGGCTGTTAACACCGAAAGGGGTCGCCGGATGGGTTTCAATCACAGGGAAATTTTTTTGACGTTCCTGCTGAGTGTCTTATGCGCTATGCATGCCCCGCTCATTATTTTGCGTGAATTGATTATTTCCTCTTGGAAGGGTATTTTTCTCAAGTGCAAACGTCTTTCTGTCCAATCGCCGGAGTTAGCTCAAATCATGGAACCTGATGCTTGTTGTCAATACCTATCATAACCCAATAAGTCGGCTCTCTGTGTTCAGTGGAGCCCGAGAAACGATTTCCAGAAGTCGGGGTGGGGACTATTTGATTAAGGCAAACACCGGAAGAAGGTGTCCATGGAGTCTGGGTTTCGAATCTTAAGCTTCCCTCAACTAGGTCTGTAACAAATTAAATTTTGACTCCATTCCAACGGGTAGCTGCCGAGTTATAATAAAATAATTTGCACTTTCTGTAGCCATTATCACTTGCCCCAGGGTGGTCCGATAGGTCCGGATTTTTGCATGCTCAGTTCAAGTCATCTCTATTCCTGTCCTATGAGCCTCATAAACTTAGCCACCTGAGTTTACATCGGGGGCTTCCACGGGGAGTTCCCATGGAGCATTTGTTAAATCTATCTATTTTCTCTCTTTCCTATTTCGTTTCTGGGGTCGGCTCATCCTCGGAAGGCTCTCTCCATAAAAGCCTTTTCCTTCTCCGATTTCTTCGTCAGACTCAACCAACGGCCTCTCCGACGGAGATACCCCGTGAGTGAAAAAAATGTCGATGTCGAACTGGCATGGTTCGAAGTCCGATACAACTGTGTCTTCCCAGTGTGTTACACCCTCGGCGGAGTTAAAGTGGCTATTCCATCTTGGCCGTTGGAGCCCACTAACGGTTCACCAAAACTCAAAAAAGGCGGATGTCCCCTCTAATAGACGCAGTACCTCTCCATTCTCCAAGAAGAGGTCAAGATCCGCTTCCACTTGTTGTACCTCAGTAATGATGAGAAAGCGCCTCAATATGAATGATTTCATCAGCAATGTCACTTCGGAGCAGCAGCTTCTCCTAAATTTCTCCTAAGTAAAATTTAGCAAGATTGGTAGAACAGCAGTTTCTCCTAAATTAGCCAAACATGAGTCGAATAAAACTTTAGCAAGATTGGTAGAACCCTCGTCTATTGTCCATCATTGCTTCAACCGCATCCATTCAGGAAGCCTGCGGCTTGTGATAAACCAAACCTTCGCAATTTGTTTAATGGAATTGATATCAATTTTTGTTAAAGTCTCGTCAAACTCCGCCGATCCTTCTCCGAATGTTGGTTCAATTTCAAAACTAATCTTTTCATTTGGGCACTGTATTTGCACAGATTACCTGCTGATCTAGCCGTTGTTATAAACAGCTTGTTTACCATTATTGATCTATTGCACCGCAAATTTATAACATCGACAGAAAATGAGGTTTACCGCTATCCTTTCTCACACTGAAATAAGTGGCATCTTGGCATCACCACTAATAGCAGTCTAAAAATGAAATCAAAACCCTTCTCCCTAACTTTGAATTATCGAGAACTGACTCTAACTGTTTTTTTAGTTAAGGCAAAGTCTTATTCCTTATGTTAACTCATTTCCATGTTAGCAAAAAAGTCAGTGAGACAGTTGACATTACCATCTTACCCAATTCTGTAGTTTTTCAACATTGATGTGATCTTGCTACTCGTCATAGCGTAGCGGGGCAACGTTAAAGACGACGACGCATTCCTCTTCGTGTCCGTGCTCTGCCCAGCGTGGGCTACTCAACATCTCTCCATCATCGCAACTTTCTCACATGCTTGGGGACAGTATCATTAAAATTATCGAGTATATGGCCAGGAGAATTCCGCTGAGACCACAGTCGATCTCGTGGAGGCAGCTTCAGTCATTAGAATACCGTTAATTCCAGCGGGAGCTGATGTTCGACTGCGGCTGTCATCAGAAGACAAGCAGAAGTCGGCGATAAGGCGGCAATACTAGCCCAAACAATATATTCTTCCTTTTTTAGGTTTAAGATTATATTTAATCAGTTTACTATCATCACTAAGTTTCCTATTATTTTAAAAATCCCTGTCAGTAACTGTGTATGTATTCCATATTTGAGTTTTATCAAAGCCGGTTTCGATGCCTAGTGACGACAGCCACACTAGACACGCAGCCTCAGTTTAAACCTAGAAATTTTTTTCCCACTTAAAATTCTACGACGCTAGAAAAACTGTACATCTCAACCTATTTTGTAGTTGACCATCCTGAGTCAGACCCCTTACACAAAATTGTTTGGTTCGGATAATAGCACCAATGAAGTTGACTTTTCTGGAGACAAGACTGGTTAAGAATTCTACTCGTCTTGGTACAACTGAACTTCTCAGTTGAAAAAGGTTAAATTAGATCGCAGCGGGCATTCGATACCCTGAGGCGGGATCGCATCTTTCTAATAATTTACTCCAGCTATACTGAAATCATAATACTTACAGTTATTATACAATATTTAAATCATCGCTAATGGGACCGGTCTCTCCTCCTCTACTCACAAGTACACTCTCCCCTCACAGAAGCAGCACTCCCCATCCTCGGTCCAGAAGTTGGGGCCAAGTTCCACTACATGTTGATGAAATCCGTGCCCTCCCCCATCAATAGCGTACTGGTGGAATCGCTCGCTTCGGTAATCCTCGAAGTACTCGTTTTGTTAAACGGAAGTGTTTCGGGGATTCTCGGAGGCAGAATGAATCGCCCCCATCGTTAACTTTTCGTTAATGTTTGAATTTTTTCAGAAAACGTATCGTATCGCGCTGGAGGAACTCCTTCATTCATCCTCCTAATCCACAGCAACTGTAATCGTCAGGCCAGTCTCGTCTTCATCTTCTTGGGATATTTCTTGGGCGCCCTCCACTCCTGACAACACATCGCCGGTGGAATTAGACTAGGAGCGCTGATACGACTTATTTTATCAGTATCACAACCGCATACTGAACATGCGGTTGTGATACTGACACGCAGCCTCAGTTTAAACCTAGAAATTTTTTTCACACTTAAAATTCTACGACGCTCGAAAAACTGTACATCTCAACCTATTTTGTAGTTGACCACCCTGAGTCAGACCCCTTACACAAAATTGTTTGTGTAAGGCCGGTTTCACGGTCAACCGCACACTGCCCAACGGTTGCCCGTGAGAAGGTGTATGTTTTCTCAGTGTCTGGTTGGCAGAGGGCTTTGCAATCTCTGCTAGGGCATCTTCGTCCGCCGACTTTTCAGGTAATTGAATTAGTTTAAGCCGGAGTGCTTCCATCATCTCGCTCATGGCCTGCTCTCCTAGGATTGCTGATATCATCACGCCGATAAATTTCTCTCCACTTCGTTTAAAGCTGCGAACAGGGTTGGGATCAGCGTGTGCTGCTGAATGATGATTGCTGACCCCGTCTCGTACTGGTACGTCCTCGGATTAGGCACCAGTACCAGAGCACCGTCTGATGTCTCAATACGTCCGTCACAGCTCCCAAAGTAAGCAGCTTTGCCAAACCACTATCGGATCGTCGACCTTTTTCGCTCCTCTACTGTAATTAAACAAATTACACTCAGCGCCACACGAAATGGCTTGGTAACCTGAGTCTTCTAGCTGAGTCACCGGAAGATTTCGGGTAAAACAATGACCTCCTGAGGGCAGAGCGTCACTACAGTCGCAGTAAGTCTTAAAAACAAACTGGCCAAAAATGACGATTCGCTGCTCCATGATATCGGAAAAGGTCGAAATTATAACTTAAGGCGGTTGCTTCCGCTACATTGTGCCAAGATGATGTCGCCC